CCTCTAGTGGGTACGTGGTCAGTGACTTATAGGAGGGTTTCAAAGGGAAGTAGCAGATCAGGGCTGTCCTAAAATAATCTCTTAGCAGTGTGTGGTGGGGTGGGGCTTTATTATGTAGTCCAGGCCAGAGGTGATGCAGTCTGAACCAGATTTGTTACTCATGTGTAATCATACCATTCAGAGCCTAGAGCAAGAAGTGGCTCAGGAAGAAGGAACAAGCCAGGCCCTGAAAGAGGAGGCCCAGCGGAGGGAGACAGCTCTGCAGCAGCTGCGTACAGCCGTGAAGGAGGTGAGCGGCATCAGCTGGGCTTCTCGGTACTGCCTCCACAAACCTGATTGTTCTGTGAACCCTCCCCATCCCTACTGCCACAAGAGCCCTCATGTTTGAGACATCCCTGCTGAGCTTTTTTGGCAGAAGAATGGGAAGGGACATTGCACCATCCTTTATATTAAAGGTCCTAAGCCCATCTTAGAGTGGCCATAATTACCCAGGAATGCTTTTGGGATGTGAGAAGTCAGTCTCTTTCCCTTTGTCTTCCTGTAGCCACAGGTTTGTGGGGCTGGGGAGGAAGGATTCAAGAAGACTTGAGAGCTTGGTGGTCCTCATGTAATAAACAGAGCTGTCAGCAAGGGGTGACCAAGTTCACTGACCTAGGAAGGAGTCTCTCAGAGCTGGGATTGTCACATGGCCCAGTGTAGGTGAAGGGCTGGGACTGGAGAAGCAGCTGTATTCCATCTTTAAATCAGAATCGAGGTAGGAAGGGGAGAATGGGTTAAGCTGTTCATGGAGAGGGAGGGAAGGAGACACAGACATACCTGAGTAGCTGGTCTTTGTAGGAGAAGCCTGACACCACTGAGGTGAAGGTGTGAAAAGACAGGCAGGACACTTTCTAGCACTGTGTTCTCCAGGTTCCTAGTTCTCCAGCCCCCGAACCCAGTGGCCGGCCGCTAGCTGTATTGTGCACTGTCTTTCTTGCCCCCTTTACTCCTCTCACACGCTCTGATCAGGCTGGCTGGTGGCCACTTTCGTCAGGGTGGCAGGGAGAGATTGAAACCAGTGTCTCCTCAGATTTCACAGTTCACGTTAAGCCTTCTCTAATAGCCTGGTTAACAGAGTTGGCCGAGGGACTGGCTTCAGATAGAGTTCCGAGGGGCGGGAGTATCATCTCTGGTTCCTGAACAGAAACCTGCAGGCTGATGACTCAGAGTCTGCTGGGTAGTAGTTTCCTCTCCAGTGCTGGAACCCTACAGGCCTGATCTACCTGCAGGAGAATTTAGGCCCAATATTGACGGGCGGGGGGAGTACTAAGCCTGGTGGTAAGGGTGGCGGCGGCGGGGGTGGGGGTTTGATATCACCTATGACTCATATATATCCACACACAGGTACAGATATTCTGCCCTTCCCTGGGCCTGGGTTAATGTGTTTGCCCATCTGTCTGCTCAGCTTTCAGTGCAGAACCAGGACCTGATTGAGAAGAATCTGACACTCCAGGAACACCTGCGCCAGGCCCAACCAGGGTCCCCGTCTTCACCAGACACAGCCCAGCTGGCATTTGAGCTGCACCAGGAGTTGGCCAGTTGCCTTCAAGATCTGCAGGCTGTCTGTAGCATTGTGACCCAGAGGGCCCAGGGCCATGACCCCAATCTCTCCCTGCTCCTGGGCATTCACTGTGAGTTCTCAGGCCGTCTGGGACCCAGGAGAGAGTGGTTCTCATTCTCTTGTCACCCCCACCCAACTTTCCCATCCTTACGGTAATGTGTGAACAAGGCTTTGTAGGCCTGGTCACTGCCCCCCTGGGAGTTTATGTGTTTAGCAAAGTAGACAGTAAATCTGCTTTGGAAACAGGCATCCTTATGGGTACCTGAATGCAGGACGAACAGAAAATGGTCCTGAGGCAGCAAGTTTTCAGCTCAGGTCTTGATCTCAGTCAGGGTCATGCATTCAAGCTCTGCATTGGGCTCCATGCTGGGCATGGAGCCTACTTAAACAAACAAAGCAACGTGCCATGTCCCCAGATCATGGGCCTTAAAGAGCTACTTATCCATCCTGCCCCCTCCACATGAAAGCATCTCCTAACTGACTCACTAACATGCTCTCGAAATGCTCTCCTACTCAGCTGCACAGCACCCGGGGACTCAGCTGGATTTGCAAAAGCCGGATGTGATCAAGAGGAAACTAGAAGAGGTTCAACAGCTGCGCCGTGACATCGAGGACTTAAGGACCACCATGTCAGACAGATATGCCCAAGATATGGGAGAAAACTGTGTCACACAGTGAGGAATGCCAGGGGTGGCACATGCTCTGTTCCCCCAGGGAAGATCTGCTCTGCTGAGTGCCCAGTCTGGCAGGTCCTGCCCTGACAATCTCTTGCCTCCTGTCTGCTGCTATTCCCAGAGAGAAGGGGTGGAGGGGGTTAAGAACCTGCATCTGGGGCCAAGGGCTGATTAAGGAACTGTGCCTGCCCTGTCCCACACTGGTTTTGCCTTGTTGGATTGCATTTGTCCTGTCATCCTGATTTACCCTTTGAGGGTGAGTTACTAATTAACTTCTGCAGGTTGACTGATAAGTCCTCACAGATTGTTCCAGCCCCAGGCTGATGTCAGAGGTAAACAGGCTGCTCAGTTCCCTTTTCCATCCTCTTGGTTGGATCCACATTCATTCCCACTCCATACCTTGGTCCTGCTGATGCCCAGAGTTCAGTAGAAGGGCCTGGAAAGGCTGAGTACCAGACACGATGGCCATGTGAGAATTCTCAGGCCAATAGGCCAGCCTGCCTGGGATCTGAGCTGGCTTTCTTGGGTATTCTTAGGCCTGGTCCCACTGCTGCTTTCTCAGGGCTCTTGTTCTCACAGATGCCTCAGGGTGATCTGTTTATTAGCAAAGTACCCACTAGAATTGGCCTAAGGATTATATCCAAGCCTCCCTCATCTGTGCTGTCATGCCATTTTACAGGATGCTCCACTCTCCAGCTGCCCTGTCCTTTGGGGCCCTGGCCACATGATTAGCGCAGCTCCCTTCTCTTTTGTTCTCAGGCCAGTCCTGAGGTACTTGTAAACTCCTCTTTATGTTTCTGGATTTGGGTAGGATTTTCCCCTAGAATACCACAGGGCAACTGCCAGGCTGCTCACCTCCTCCTCCTGGGGCTAAGGGATGGCATCCAGCCCTGACTGTGCCTCTCTTTTGTTTGGGAGCAGGTCCTTTCCCTTTCTTGCTCTGGGGCTTCTTGAGAGTTCAGAGTACCCAGTATAGTTTGGCTCTAAGGTATAGCTTTCCTTATTTGCTGGGTTTTGTTTGGGGCCTTTGGATCCTATGCTTTCTGGTTTCTCTTGCCTCCTCATTTAGGGAGCATCTCAAACACAATTGTTTGTATCTGGTTGTTGGGCTGGCCCCAGGCCTCCACTAGATCTGGAGCGAGGCCAAGCCAGGGCCTTGTAAGGGTATGCAGGAGCACTGAGCAGTTCAGGAGCCAGCCACTATGAGTTTGTTGGTAAGTTTTGAGCCGTCAGAAAAGTATCCTGAACCTCACTCTTGGGTCTGAATGAGACTCCTTAAGTGTTTTTACAATTTTGTGTCTTATTTATGGAGTGATGTATCCCTTCCATTCAGAACAGCCCCACCCAGCCATCCCCTCAGCCTCTGGGCTCCTTCCTGCCTCCTAAAAGCAGAGCTGCCTGGTTGGTCTCCACCCTGTGTTGGGAGCCCAGCCACCATGCTCACGGGTATTTTTCCTCAAAGTTTATAAGCAGTTATTTATATGAATCCTTGTTATGTCAACTGGTTTGTATTGCCTATTTTGATTACAAAATAAAATATTTAACAAACTCCTCAGTTTTCCATCACCATCAGCACCATCCCTTACTCCACCCTTCATTTTGGCTTGTTGCAGCCAAAGCCTGGGTGTTTAGCCAAGTTCCCCAGATGGCAGCAAGGAGGGACCTTTGGCAGGTCCAGCCTCACGTCTGTATTTCTACCACTTCTGCTCCTCTGTTCTCTGTGGGGACAAGTATCTCTTCCCACACCACTTTCTATTGGGTGAAGCTGCCCTGAGTCATTGAGCAAGTCTCATTGGAAAGAGTTTCAGTAATCTTCTGAGAGGAAGTAGCTGCCTCTAGGTTGCTGTGAGGAAGTGGCTTCTCAGGAGCCAAGCAGGGCCTATTTGCCTTAGGGAGCTGGGGTTCTCTTCCTGGGCTGCAATTCTACCCTGGACCTGGGGAGAACTTGTGAGGGGAGTCATGTCCAACCCCAGACAGCCAGCCACGCCTCCAAATTTGGGCTGGTTGTTAAGAGTCCGCTGCCTCTGAACCCCCTAGATTTTTTCTGGGAGCAGGAGCAGCTTTAGAATGCCATCTGGGATTGAGGTTGAGCTAGAGCCACCCTAAGACCGTGTGTGGATCTTTAACAAGGGTGGGCCAGGCTCTGCCTCCACCCTTTATAGAGCTAGCAGCCTCTTACCTTGGTCTGCATCTGGTGCCTTGAGGGTGTGGCCCTGTCTCTGGCCACCGCCCTTCCTTGTCTCAACCTGCCTTAGTGGAGAGGAATTTTGGGGGCAGGGGCTGTCCCTGCTTTGGTGTGGCAAGGGGTTAGCCAAGTGTGAGGGTCACGTGGGGGGCTGTAGAAAGGGGTCCCTTGGAGTGAGGTTCCCTAGCCAACGAACTGTAGGTTTCAAAACAGCCAAAGCCTTCAAAGCTCAGAGCTGCGCTGCGCTATAGTGGCACGAGGGGTGGGTAGTTGGGTGCAGCAAACCCCGGGAGGCTGAGGAGGCGGCCTTTGCCACACCGTCACCCCTGCTCTCCCTGGCCTTTCCGGCCACCCTGGCCCCTCCCCAGCCTCACACTGAGCCCCAGATCTGGGAAGGGCCGAAGAGGGCCGCTTCGCGTGGCGCTGGGGTCCTCTGCGCGCCCCGCCACTGAGGGGGGAGGGGAGGGGGCCAGCGGTGCGCAGGGCGGGGTCGCGCAGGCTCCGCCCCGGCCGCACGCCTGCTCGCGCCGCCCATTGGTCCCGAGAGCGGTGACTCGCGGGCTGAGCAGGAAGGAAACCGCTCCCGAGCGCGGCGGCGGCGTCTCCAGGCCGTGCAGCTGCCGCTACAGCCGTCCGTCCGCCTGTCGGCTCGCCCGTCCAGCCACAGCATGAGCGGCCTGCGCGTCTACAGCACGTCGGTCACCGGCTCCCGTGAAGTGAGTGCACACCCGGGCCGCGCTGGGGTGGGGTGAGAGTGCGGGCGGCGGTGTCTGGGCGCTACGGCCCGGCGCCGAGACCCACCCCCACCCCCCCAAGGGCGGGGGCGGGACGGAGGTGGGGTGGGAAGGGCGACGAGATGCGGGGCTTGGCCTCCCGGGTCGGGTCCCAAGGTGGGCTCCGAGGCTCAAACCCCTCCTTTGGGCATCCTGGATCCTTCGCAGCCCCAGCACAAGCTGCCCACGCCCATCCCGTCGCTCAGGCACGCACTCTCTGCAACCCCACCAGCACTCCGAGCTGGTCTTGATTGTGCCCTTCCTCTCCTCCACTTTGTGTGTACCTGGGTGGGGGTGGCCCTTTACCAGCTTCCACCGAAGCCTGCCCTGCCTTCCCCTCGCTGAGCTCCTGGTTCTCCCCCCACCCCCAAACTTTATCCCAGTTCCCTTCTTCGTTCTGAGTCCCCTCCGCATGGTGGTCCCTCTCATCCTGCACCACTGCAAGTCTGACTTATCCTCCTAACTCCCTAGTGGCCAGAACGCTGGCCCAGGGTGTGGAGGGAGACAAAAACTACTGGCCACAGCCCCTTTCTTTCTGCCCAGGGTTCCCCCATGAATCCTCCAGCCTGCTCACTAACCCCTGCCTGCCCTCTACCCCCAGATCAAGTCCCAGCAGAACGAGGTGACCCGCATCCTGGATGGGAAGCGCATCCAGTACCAGCTAGTGGACATCTCCCAGGACAACGCCCTGCGGGATGAGATGCGAACCTTGGCAGGCAACCCCAAGGCCACCCCACCCCAGATTGTCAACGGGGACCAGTACTGTGGGGTATGGGCCCTGGGGGTTGGGAGTGGGGAAGTGTAGGAGGACTTCTCCTGAGTCAGAAGTCAGAGTCAGACCTGAGACAAAACACCACACTCAGGTGACCATCTCTCCCCTCCCCTCCCCTAGGACTATGAGCTCTTCGTGGAGGCTGTGGAACAAAACACACTGCAGGAGTTCCTGAAGCTGGCTTGAGCCCACTGGACTCCGCCACCACATTTCCCCCAGCCACCGCCCGGCCATGAAGGACCTTAGGACCAACTCCCTGTTATTCCTAACCTTCTGACCTTGGAATCGCTCCCCCCCACCCCCCCGGCAACCCAAGCCCCTTCTCCTGCCCTCTCCTCTGTTCAAAGGCAACATTCCTTACCCACTAGTTTCAGAAATTGTCTTAAGCAACAGCCCAGGTGCTGGCTGTCCTCAGCCAGGCCCTGAGGCTGCCACCCTGCCTGGCACTGGCTGATGGGTGCCTTTGTTGGTTCCATTAGCCAGGGCTCTGCCAAAGGCCCCGCATTCCCCGTCCTGGGAGTACCCTAGAGACAATTAAATGTCCCATTCCATTGATGCTGTGTCTGTTTGATATGACCTGAGCCCTTGCTTGTGCTGAGGCTCTGCTCCTGTGGGCAGGTCGGTTGAGCGGTCTTCTGCGTGGCAACTGTGTGTGTGATTGTGTACGTATGTGGGTGTATGTCTGGCACGTGCATTACTGTGCGGACCCGCATTTCTGGAAACAATGTGGGTGGGTCACCTCCTGATTCACACGCATGTGATAGTGTCCTGACACGCCCCGCTTGGTGAGTCTGGCACATCTGTATGCCAGTCGGTAATGTGTCTAGGCCATGTGGCCGCCTGCCCGTGTTTCAGCAGACTGGCTCAAAGTGTGTGTCATGGCAGTGGGTTCACAGCTGCAGTTCTGCCAGTTTGGGGACAGTGGCTTTGTGCAGAAAGTTGAAGAAGTGTCCCCATGTGCTGTGGTTCTGTGCCTATCTGTGCACAGGGGATCTGCCGGTGGCACACTTGCACAGGAGGTTCTTCCACACCAGCTGAGGCTGGGCTGGAGCCCGCCTTCCCTCCACTGAATCTGTTTAGCCCTTGTGGGGAGAAAGAGGAACCTAGAGGACAAAGACCCAGCAGCCAGGGCCGCCAGCTGGGGCTCGAGTTACAGAGGGGGGCGGGTCGGCACCGCCCCCTCCCTGGCCCAGCTGGGCCCCCTGGCCTTCCCTGGCGTCCAGCTGGGCTGCCCCGCCAAGAGAGCCTCACGGAGCAGCCTGTGTGGGAGAGGGCGCTTTATTTGGAGTAGGGGCCGGGTCCTGGAGCAGGCGGTGGGGCCCGGCTCGCCCGAAGCAGCAGCGCTGCATTGGGCACCAGGCCCGCGGCCTGCAGTGTGACCGTGTCGTCGTGGTAGACCCTGGGTGGAAATGTACTGATGATCTCGAAGGTGGTGGCATCCACGGCCCTGAGGACCGGGCAGAATGGATCAGGCTGGGTCCTGGGGCCAGAGACCCCCTGTAGCTGCCAGCCCCGCCCCGTGCACACCTGGCCTGTGCGAGCAGGGTGCGAACATCACCAACAGTGTCCTCAGGCCTCATCATCAGCAGGAAAGCCTGCTCACCATTCTCAGACTTGATGCGCAGCATGGAGAGCAGTGGCGCCGTTGACTCAGGTGACTCTTGGCTCCTGTGGGCCTAGAGGCCATCAGTGCCCCCCCTGGTGGCCCAACCCCAAGGGACTCACCTCTTCACTCTGCCCTCACCTCTCCCGCTCAGCCGCCAAGGCTGGTGTCTCCACCACGATCTCCTGGATCCGGGCAGGCAATGGGCAGCAGTTCTGGAAAGCATCGATGAAGGGAGACAGAGCCCTGGGCCCTGCCAGAGACACCCTTCCCCCAACCCTGAGAGGGGACTTCTCCCTAACCAAGGATGGATGAGACCAGTGAGCCAAAGGGGGAGGAAATGGAAGGGACGCTTTGGGAGGCAGCCCCATCATTCCCCTAAGAAGCCTTAAGCTCCCTTAGGGTAGTGGGGGAGAGAACCCCACACAATGACTGGGCTAGAGGCCTAAGCCAGCATGGGTCAGGGAAGGCTTCCCAGGGGAAATGACACCTGAGCTGTGACTAAGGATGAGGAGTCCCTAGAAATGGAATGGGAGCAAGGGAAAGAACCCCTGGTCAGGGGAACCTTCTCTGGGAGATGGTACATTTGAAAAAGCGTTGGCAGTTCACATGGCTGAAGCTGAGAATCAGGCTGGACTGGAAGAAAGAGAAGGTTAGATACGGGAAGAGGACCCACAAGGGATGGTGGGCCTTGAGCGCCAGGATAAGAGCTTGGCCTTACCCAAGAACCACTGGAGGGTTTCAACGGGGAAGACCCAGATTCAATTTATGTTTTACAGAAGCGCAGAGACCGCTGGGGGAGGGCAGTTGGCAAGGCAGGAGTGGGGGTGGCAGGCCAGTGAGAAGCCACTGCAGCTGTCTGAAACGGCCATCTGGGGCCAAGTCTAGGATGGTGGGCAGTGGGAACGGAGAGAAGAGACTGATTCGGGAGGAGTGCTAGAGATGGACAGATCAGACAGGACTTGGCAATGTGGAGTGAAGGAGGCAGAGTGGTAGGCAACTGAGGTTTGGTACCTTTCACAGGCGAAGATGGGGAGGAGCAGCAGGATGGGGAGGGAGGAGGGAGGATGATGTGTTCTAAGGGCCAGGAAGGGGGATCCAGGACTAAATTGGGTATTCTGGTCTGGACCTCAAGGAGGTGGCCCAGGCCGTGGGCTCACCCCTGCCCTAGACTCCGACTTTCCCCCTCTTACCGCCACATGGTTGCCAACCCAGCCCCTCTCTGGGTGCCAGCCCAGAGCCCTCCCCAGATTGTTTTCAGGAGATGGCGGAACTCCCCTGAGAGCCTCATCTCTCCATCCAGGCCCTCCTCAGCAGCCCCTTGAGCCTGAGTCTCCAGACAAGCCCCTGCTCTTGTAGGTTGGGCCAGGGAGCCCAGGAAGGCTGGGGGAGCTAGGGCTGGCCTCACCTGCAAGGTGTCCCGGATGGGCCCCCGGATATCAATCACCTCGCCTTTCCGGATCACAAACTTGGGAAGCCTGTTCAGAAACTTCTCAGCAGTCATCCTGGAGCCTGCAGGGAGTGCATTGGGAGCTTTGGCCAGGGGAGGGACTGTGAGTGATGGGTGATGGGTGGAGGAGGCCACGGGAGCCTGTCCTGCACAGTGCCCCCACCACTGGGCTCAGCCTCAGGGCCAAGCTCACCTGGGCGCTCCATCCTGTCCAGCGGCTTGTGAATCCTCTGTCGGCCCACCACGCGGCCCTCACCTGGGAACGGGTCCAGCCCATTCTCTGGGTAGACCCGATAGCGCAGATCACTCACCTGTCAAGAAGGAAGGGCGACAGCGGTGGGCCTAGACCTTCAGCCCTGGGCTCCACCCCACACTTGCTCGCCCAAACCGAGGCCTCCCCGTGCCCCACCCCCACCCCCACCAGGAATAGGCTCAAGGGACAGTCTGGTGTAATCCCCATTTTACAGATAAAGAAACCGAGGCCCCCAAGAGGGCTGGAGAGCTGCAGTTCACGCTACTGTCCCCCACCTGGGCCCGGCTCCTGTAACACCCCTCGCCATGTCAGCTGCAGCCGCTGTCCTGACATCCTCCCAGACAGCCCCTCTCAGGAACAGCCAGGAAACGAGGGACCAGGGTGTTAGGAGAGGGCATGGCCTGCCTCAGACGCCCCCAGTCATGACTCACACGGTTTCCAAGCCCAGGTGGTGGCGGTGCACACCCCCTCGCATGCCCTTGCTGTGGTATGACGCACGCCTCGGGGATGCTGCTCGGGAGCTCCCGCCACCGCGCGGCTCCTCTCACCTCGCCCCACCCCTGGCCGCAGGGGGCTGGCTCATGCCCTGTCCTTCAGTCCCAACATCTGCCCCCCGTAGCACTGCCTGCCACTCCCATTAGGTGGCTTCAGGAGCCTCTGGGGCAAGCCAGGCCACTTCTGCAGAGCACCTCGGGAACCCCAGGCTGTCAAGGTGTCCTGGATGGGGAGGGCAGTGGCCCTGCAAGGCTGAAGCCTGTGCCTTTAGGATGCCAGCAGGGGGCACTGCCGGCTGCTTAGCCTCGGGCCGCCGCCCTGGCTAACGGAGCAACTGTGGCCCCAGCAGCCTCCCTGCTCCCTCAGCCAGGCTGGCAGAGGCTTACCCTCCTCCCAGACGTCACCAGACCGGGGCTCCCGCAGGTGGGTAGTGGCTTCCCACCTCAGACCGGGTGATGCCCGAGGAAGCTGTTTATCCCCACCCTCTCCGAGCTCCTCACACAGGGTGGTTTGAGGAGCAGCCCATCACCTTAAAGGGGACCCCATCGGGGTACAGCCGCTGGAGCTCTGAGGGGAAGAAGCCATCCAGAATGTCTCGGAGGCAGCGCTGTGGCAGGGGTTGGACGAGTGAGGCCCGGCTGGACCTGTGCGGTGCCTCCTGCCCTGCTTCCTGCCTGGCCGGCGGGCCCTGAGCCCTGGCTTTACCCAGGGGATCACCCTCTGGACATTTTCAGGGCCCCAGGACTTGGGCGGGGTTGGGGGTGCGCTCTGCAAGTTGCACGTGGGCTTGGGTACCTGTGGAGGGCGGGTTGAGCTGCCCCCCCCCGCCCATCTCCAGCTAAGGGTGAGTGAGGGCGGGGCAAGGCCACCAGAGCAGCCTGACCCCCCCCTCCCCACCACTCCTACCTGTGTGGAGGGGTCATGGAAGGGCCGGAAGGGCCCATCGAACATCATGAGGCCATTCCGATAGAGCTTCAGGGGGATGGGCTCAAGGACATGGAGCCGCGCTCCACCGGGCATTGGTGTCACCTGGGTGTCACTGTCTACCACCAGCTCGCTGAGATCCTTCAGGCTGGCCAGCAGCCTGTCAAAGTCCACCTCGGGGGGCGCCAGTGAGTCCCCTGGCAAAGAAGATAAACACCCATGAGCCTCTCTTCATGGCAGCTGTGCCCCAGCAGCCCTGACTTCCATGGCCCCTGGCGTCCACGCTAAGCAGTGGCCTTGGCATCTCCGAAAGCGGCCACCCGGCCAGGGGCGGGGACAGACAGACAGCTACCGCCACCTAACAGCTACCTTTTACTGAACACTCACCTTATGCTCGGGCCCTAATACCTCTTGCGCCACGCTCCCCATACCAACCCCTTTGCCGTCAGGGCTGTGATCACCCTCGTTCTTCAGATGAGGAAACCACGGGTTAGAGAAGGCTAATGGCTGCTCCTAATGGAGCAGGAGCAGGATCCGACCCCAGCTCAGCCTGTGTCAGCTCTGAATCATCTGTCTGGGTTCAAACCCCAACTCCTTAGCTTCCACCTGTGTGACCTTGGTCATGTAAGGCTGTGCACCACAGCGCCCCGCACGACGGCCCAGGACGGTGACCGGGAGGGCCAGCTCGAAGCACGCCCTCCGCCCGGTGCGTTATTGTTACCAACTCTACCTCGCACAAACGGACCTCGGCCCAACCCAGAGGCCCTGACACAGGAGTCATTTATCTCCATTTTACACACGAGGAAACAGGTCCACAGAGATGAAAAATG